AGTCTCGGAACGTATCATCATCATGACCTCTTGCTCCTCTGACGGTCCGTCGCCACACCGTTTCGTGACCCTGGAGGCCCCAGTCGCCTGAGACGTCCTCGGAGAACGACCCAATCCCCGAAACCGTGCGCCTACCCCGAATTGCGCACTGACTCACCACACGGTGTGTTCAGCGCGCCGTCTGGGGGCCCCCGACGTTGGCGCACTCGAGAGAACTGCAGCAGTGGGTCGACGCAATCCCAATTCTAGAGGCAGAGGAATCGAGGATCATGACCAAGACTGCCCGCAGAAACGACGGTCGTTGTCGACCTTGGTCATCGTCCATCTTGGCCATCGTCATCTCATGGATCGTCCTCGCGAATTGGCGACGGCCGGCATGGATCACGACCACTATCCGCACTGACAAGATCCTGCAACATCTTTGTCGTGGTCATCGTGGTTCTTCCGTCGAGATGTTTCGGTCTCTCAGGCTGGCATCTCAAGCTCCTGGCTTCGGAGGCGGCCAGGACGAAGGCGGCCAAGAGGGGAGGGTCGCACCTCGTGGCCCAAGGCACGTGCACGACCCATGGGGGTCACCGGGGGACGCCTCGAAAGAAGAAGAGGGGCCATTCTGCAGTCCGAGGAGATCTCATGGCCCCGCTCGGTACCCCTCCCCTGGTCATCCCCCCCCTCTTGGACGGCACTGGTGGATGGCTTCTGGGGCCCTCCGCCGCCTGGGGACCGCTCTTCGGGGACCTCGCCAGGCGGTGGATGCAGACACACTTGGCCCCCTCAAGACCCGAGTAGCTTACATGCTAAAACCACGCGCGCGCGCTTCGCGCGCGCAGGTTCTAGTGCGCCCTGGGTTTCGACGGCAGAATTCGCACGCATGTGTCCACACGTGCGCATGGATCGAGCATTGCGACAAGGACACACTCTGAGGACCCAGGATGGAAGCCGCACCCCAGGCCCTCTTTGCTGATCCCACTCCTTCTTCCGTTCCATGAATAAATACATGTCTGTCTGTCTGTCTGTCGGTCTGTCTGTCTGTCTGTCTGTCTGTCTGTCTGTCTGTCTGTCTGTCTGTCTGTCTGTCTGTGTGTGTGTATGTATGTATGTATGTATGTATGTATGTATGTATGTATGTATGTATGCATGTATGTATGTATGTATGTATGTATGTATATATGCATGTGTATGTATGCATGCATGCATGTGTGCATGCCTATATGTGTATGTGTATGTGTGTGCATGTGTGTATGTATGTATGCATGTATGTATGTGTTGTATGTGTAAATATTCATAAGTGTATAAGTATGCGTATTACGTACGTTGATAGGTAGGTAGGTAGGTAGGTAGGTAGGTAGGTAGGTAGGTAGGTAGGTAGGTATAGGTGTGTATGTGTGTATGTATGTATGTATGTATGTATGTATGTATGTATGTATGTATGTATGTATGTATGTATGTGTATGTGTATGTATGTACGTGTGTATGCATGTATGTATGTATGTATGTATGCATGCATGTATGTATATATGTGTGACCGTATGTATGTATGTATGTATGTATGTATGTATGTATGTATGTATGTATTTACGTATGTATGTATATATGTATGTATGTATGTATGTATGTATGTATGTATGTATGTATGTATGTATGTATGTATGTATGTATGTATGTATGTATGTATGTATGTATGTATGTATGTATGTATATATGCATATATGTATAGATGCATACATGCGTGTATGTATGTATGTATGTATATTTGTATGCATGTATGCATGTATGTATGTATGGATGTATGCATGTATGTATATATGAATGTTTGTATGCATGCATGTTTGTGCAACGTTACACATACACATATGATGTATATATACACATATAGCCGCCTCCAGAGGCCCTCTTCTCAGTTCCTCCTTCTGGCAAGGAGGCGGAGGAAGAGGAGGAGGAGGAGGAGCAGGAGGAGGAGGAGGAGGCCCGCAGGGTGCCCTCGCTTCAGAAGGCCCCCCGGGCAGCCCCAGGGCGCCCAGGGCCCGGACGCTGCCCACCGCGAGCACGGGCAGCCGCGCCTCCCGCGGCAGGTGCGGGGGGAAGGCGGCCATCCCAGGGTCCTCGTGGGTCGGGCGGGCGTCGGCGACAGGACCCGACGCAATGCCGCCGAAGGGCAAGGCCAAGGCCAATCGGGGATGGACAGACCTCCCTTTCGTAAGACGTGGTTTAGTGAAAACGACCTGGGGCCCAAACCTGGCGGGCGCAAGCCTGGAAAATAACGGCCGCGGCGCCCTCTCGAGAACCGCAAACGGACAATTCACTAATCGACGTGTCACTGTTGGGGGTTCTGTCCACCCCCGAGCCAAGGCCAAGGCCAAGGCCAGGACGGCGGCGCATCAGATGCAGCTGCGCCGCCTGCAGACGGAAGTGGCGCAGCTGCGCCGCGACTGCCAGCATTGGGAGAACGTCGCGAGGTCGGTGATCGTCGGGGCGTTGGTCTGAGGAACCCTAAATAAGGAACGAGACCCCTTTTCGTTCATACAGTGGAGGCCGGTCCACGAGAGACCTTCCACAAGAAACCCAACCCTGAGACCCCAGGAGGTCCATTGATTCTTGGTGTGGGAACGTCAGGTTTTCCATGGCAAAACCATTGAAACCCAAGAAACCCAGGGCACCCTGGAGGCAAGCAGGGTGTTTTTTTGGCATGGGTCTCCACTGTAAGCTAAACTTCGATTTCCCACCGAAACGCTGAGGGAAACAGAAGACAAAGGCAGACTGTGAAACAATCAAGGAACACGGAGCCCCTCCCCAACGAAGAGGGTTCCTTCTTCAGCGCCCCGACCGTACGTGTTCGACCACAGACCGCTTGTTACCCATCGTTCCTGGGCCGTTCAGCAGTCTTCGGGTGGTCTTCGGCGGTCTCCGGACGGTCTTCGGCGATCTCCAGCGGTCTTCGGCGCGAAAGCTGGACGGCTGCGTTCAGCACGGGGTCCGTGGTCGAACCTTCCTAGGCAACAGTCGGCACCCATAGTAAGGATGCAGGGTCATTGGAAATCCCATTTGCCATTTGGAGCTCCCTGGGCATTGCGGTTGGCCCAGGATCTCGGTGGGCCCCGGAAACGGCAAGGCCATTTTTCACCGTTTCCGAAAAAGTGTCCCTTAAACATGGAAACGGCAAAAAAACGGCGACCGGAAACGGCAACTAAAAACGGCTCCAGGATTGGAATCGGAGCGGGAACCCGTCAAAGAACGGCGACGGAACCGGTAGAAAAACGGCGTCGGAACCGGCAAAAAAAATGCAAAACAGAACCGGTAAAAAAACGGCCCTGTCGTCTCCAGGGCCCACTCAAGGGCCGACGAGGCAAGGATGCAAGCGCAGCCTTGGTGACGCCACGCCGCCTTACCGTGACTGTACACGCGAGGCCCAGACCCCCGGCGCGTCGTGGCAGCAACCGATGGGAGCCTTTGAACCAATGTTCGGCCTCTAGTCGGGAGCGGCCAAGAAGGGGGTGTCCAAGAGGGGGGGGTGCAAGTCATGACCGGCGGCATGTGCGCGGCCCAAGGGGGCGGGGGGCTGGGGACGTGATGAAACAAGAAGAGGCGCCATGCAATCTGAGGAAATATCATGGCCCCCGCCATGATCTCCCCCCCCCCCCCCCACTAGTCATCACCCCCCTCTGTTCTGCCCCCGAGTCAACAAACACGACTCGGGATGAAAAACCGGTCCCGGGGAATGGGTCGAGACCTCGGAGAGTCGACGTTCCGAAAAAAAAATCAGGACGACGGGGGTCTAGCAACTGGGGGTGGGGGGGGGGGAATGTGCCCTGTTCTGGCCCCAGAGGCTGGGGGCCCCATAGCCCAACGGGCCCCTCTTCGGGCCGCCCCCCCATTTATCGCCCCCCCCCCCACACTGCGCGCCCTCCGAAGCCCCAGATCTCCGATGGCCCCCGGGGAGGGGTCCATACCCTCTGGGGGCCCGCGCTGCGAAAGAGCAGCGACGTCGGGGGTCTGGGGAGTGACTCTGGGCCGAAAGCGTGGCCTGCAGGTGGTTTCTTCCATCTCGGGTCCTCCCGGATCGGGCGGGAGTCGGCCACAATCCCAAATCTCCCACGATCAGATATTTGTCAGCCCGCGTTTTTTCCTAGGTTGCGGCGGACGGTTTCCCCCGGGGCCGTAGGCGACCCGAGGAGGGGAGGGCGAGGAGGGGGATGAGGAGGTGGAGGAGGGGGAGGAGGAGGAGGAGGAGGAGGAGGAGGAGGAGGAGGAGGAGGAGGGGGAGGAGAGGAGGAGGAGGAGGGAGGAGGAGGAGGAGGAGGAGGAGGAGGAGGAGGAGGTGTTTCCCAGAACTCCGCTCCCCGGGGCCGCCCTCGGGCGCCCAGGGACGGTCGAAAGTGGATCCCGGAAGCAGAGCTGCCCCCTGAGGAAGCGGTCGGGACGCCCAGGGCGCGGATCCCAAGAATCACATCGGCGGGTGCGCGGGCGCGGCAGGCTGGCGGCGCGCCAGGGGGTCGGCGGGGGCGGCGGCCCTCTGGGCCGACAGCGAGGCCACGGCAGTATCGTGTCGTGACCACCCCGAGTTGGCTTCTGACACCGCGCGTGGCTCGCTCAGCCTCGAATGGGGGAAAGAGAGCTGTGCGCATGCACCGATTCTGGCCAGGCCCATCCTGAGCCCAGGGTCGGTGCACACGCGACACACACCTTGGGCAGGAAGACGCATGCACCGATCCTGGGCCCAGGATGGGCCTGGCCAAGATACGTGCATGTGCACCGATCTTGGCCAGGCGGAGGAGGAAGAGGAAGAGGAAGAGGAGGAGGAGAAGGGGGAGGAGCAGGAGGAGGAGGAGGTGGGGGAGGAGGAGGAGGAGGAGGAGGAGGAGGAGGAGGAGGAGGAGGAGGAGGAGGAGGAGGAGAGAGAGAGGAGGAGGAGGAGGAGGAGAGGAGGAGGAGGAGGAGGAGGAGGAGGAGGAGGAGGAGGAGGAGGAGAGAGGAGGAGGAGGAGGAGGAGAGGAGGAGGAGGAGGAGGGAGGAGGAGGAGGAGGAGGAGGAGGAGGAGGAGGAGGAGGAGGAGGAAGGAGGAGGCCTCGAGGAGGAGGGAGGAGGAGGAGGAGGAGGAGCAGGAGGAGGAGGAGGACGAGGAGGAGGAGGAGGAGGAGGAGGAGGAGGGCCACCAACGCTGAGGGAGGCCACAGGCGAGGCCGAAAATCGAGGAAAACCTCCCGCCGTGTTTTTGTCACAGCGCGTGGGGGTCTGGGTCTTCGCCGCCCCCTAGGGTTGCAGGAGCGCGCTCATGTATTCGCGGCGACAGCGGGCGTGATGGGGGAAGGGCCGCGGGGGGCATATCCTGACGCCCCCATCCCGCCGTGCGGCTCCGGCGCCACCACAGCGCCCGCGCGCACGAGCGACGAGCGACGAGCGACGAGCGACGACGACGAGCGACGAGCGACGAGCGACGACGACGAGCGACGAGGACGAGGACGAGGACGAGGACGAGGACGAGGACGAGGACGAGGACGAGGACGAGGACGAGGACGAGGACGAGGACGAGGACGACGACGACGACGACGACGACGACGACGACGACGACGACGACGACGACGACGAGGACGAGGACGAGGACGACGACGACGACGACGGGGTCCGAGGTCCTTCCCCGCGGGCGCGTCCCAAGCCGCCGCCCCGCCAGGGGCCGGCGCGCGGCTCTGGCCGGCGGGCGGCCGGCCCTCGCGGCGGGGCTCCGAGGAGGCCCGGCCGTGCGCCGCCTGCGGGGGAGCAGGGGCCCCTGGGCGCGAGCAGAGGGGGGGGGCCGAGAAACCCCGACCCCCTCGCGCTGCGAGGGAGCTCACGACGGGAGGTGCTTCGCTATTTTTTCGGCCTCCGGGGGCCCTCCACAGGCCTCGGGACCATCCGAGAATGACTGGAACAGGTCGAAACCTCTGAGGGTCGACGTTATGAACAACTAATGACGTCGGGGGTCTGGGAATGGGGGGGGGGGGGGGGGAGAAATGCGGCCTTTCCGGACCCTCGAGGCCCCTTTCTGCAGGCCTCGCTGCCCCCCCCCCCCCCCCCCCCCACTTGTCGCCCCCCCCCATTGCGCGTCCTCCGCAGCCCCAGATCTCCTACGGTCCTCGGGGAGGGGGCCATGCCCGCGCTGCGAAAGAGCGACGACGTCGGGGGTCTGGGGAGTGGCCCCGGGCGGAAAAAGTGGCCTGCAGGTGGTGCGCGGCCATCCTGGGTCCTCTCGGGTCAGGAGGGAGACGGCCACGTTCCCAGATCTCCGACGAACGACTCAGGAGGAGGCGAAGGGGAGGCGGAGGATGAGGATGAGGATGAGGAGGAGGAGGAGGAGGAGGAGGAGGAGGAGGAGGAGGAGGAGGAGGATCTGATTACTGTCAACACGCGTTTCTTCCCAGACTGCGGCTCTCGGGGGCCGTCATCGGTGCCCCGGGGCCATGGAGAAATGGATCGGGGACGAAAAGCTGCCCCGCAGGCGCAGTCGAGGCCTCCGGGGGCTGTTCTGGTGCCGCTCGCTCCACTCGTGCGCCGATGCAGCGTCGAACGCCCGTCGATTGGCGAACCCGGGTCGAGCTGGAGCCAAGCAGCAGTCGAGCTACAATCGAGCCAGATTCGAGCTGGAATCGACACACATCCGAGCGGATCCGCCAGATGGGCCCCGGGCCTCTGCCGCCCGGTCCCCTGTGCAGCCAGGCTCAGACAGGACCTCGAGGCGCGCCAGAGCCTCGCCCCTCGATCCCGGGAGCCCGAGGTCGACCTCGCTCCCCAGGCACCCGGCGCCGCGCTCTTGCCCGCGGCGTGCCCCCCCCCCCCCCAGAGGCGATTGGGGCCCCGCTGCGCCGGCCCCCCGAACGAGAACCTTTCAAGCAAGAGCCTCGCCCCTCGATCCCGGGAGCCCCAGGTCGACAAGGGGTGCCCCCCCCCCCTCCCAGAGGCAGCTGGGCCCGGCTGCGCGGGCCCCCCGAGCGAGGACCCTTCCGAGCGGCATCGGCGTGGCGCGCCGCAGCGGCGAGGGCCCATCCGCGCTGCTGCCGCGGCGGACGAGGCCAGGCCCGCGGGCAGGCAACGGCAGGGGCAGCGCGCGGACGGGCTCCCGACGCCGCCGGCTCCCGACGCCGCCGGCTCCCGACGCCGCTCGTGCAGAAGGGGCAGGGACCGACCGTCCCGGCATTCCTGCGGGCCTACCACTCGTGCAGAAGGGGCAGGGACCGACCGTCCCGGCATTCCTGCGGGCCTACCACGACGTGCGCTCAGAACCGCAACACGTTCCGAGGACAGCAGCAACGCTCTCAAGACAAGAACCCGATGTGTCGAACCAAGACCGTCCCGGCCAGAAATGTGCTGAGAACACTTCGTGCAAACCACAAGCGATTATTAGAACATTCTTTGGTGGGTCTATAGGCAAGCCGGGGCGCTTCGCCACTGCTCGAAACGATGGGGGTGGGACCAGCTTAGGAGGTGGGGCGAACATCGACTAAATCGACGATAGATCGCCGATCAATCGGCGGCAGGCCCCGGATGGCGAGACCGCACACTCCTGGGCGGGACGGGCTATGGGCCCCCATCGGCGATGAGTGGGCGATTCGAGGTCGATGCAGCCCCCATGAGCCTATCCCCGCCCCAGATTATCCTCGCTGTCCAGTCTTCGGGTCACAACTGGGCTCTTCGGCGGCCGTTCGGGACGACCTGGACACCCCAGAGCGCTGTCGGCGAGGCTGCAAAACCACCGAGGACTGATGAAAACGCTCTAGAACCTCGAACCTCGAACCCGAATGGAAGACTTCGGGTTGCGCACAGACAGGCCCCCCACATAGTCCCGGCTGGCCTCAACGGGCCCCTTGAGTAGCCCAGATCGATCTCAACACCCCAACCTTGGGTCGCGGAGCGCTCCAAGGTGGCCGCCAGCTCCTCCTCCTCCTCCTCGTCCTCCTCCTCCTCCTCCTCCTCCTCCTCCTCCTCCTCCTCCTCCTCCTCTACTCTCCCTCGCCCTCGTTGATGCACCCCTTCGTCTCCTCCCACTCCTCGCCCTCGACAGCCAGGACCTACCTGGGGAGGGGGGGGCGCCGCCCGCACGCGGCCCCGAAGCCTTGCCTGGCCCGACGCGCTGCCCTCCGAGGAATGGGCGCCCGGCGGTGCGCGGCCTGTCATTGCACCGGCCCTTGCAGACGTGCTGCGGATTTCTGCGTGGATTTCTGCGTGGATTTTTGCCCGAAGCGGCGAGCGAAAGACGAAGTGAATTTTGCGCGCGTTCTTTTTGGTCTTCATTCCTGGCCAAACAGAATGCGCACAAAATTCACCTCGAAATCCAGAGCGAAACTCTCCAGGACACTCGGGCCCATTCTATTGTTTTCCAAACGAAATCCGCTCTGCGATGTTGGCGCCATGAGCCTGGGAGTCCTCTGCCTCCTGCAGCTGCTGCCGCATGACGGCCTTGAGGATCGCCGCGGCCATCAGCGGCCTCTGCCGCGACATCCTGCCGAGCCAGGACTCGAGCTTACGTGTTTCTCGTGCTCGTCGTGTTCTCGCTGTCCTTCGTTGGGTCGCATCGTTCGGCCCTTGCGGCGAGACGGAAGCCAAGCGAAAACAATACACGAAATCGCCCAAACACCGTTTAGCCCGAGCCTTGTCGTAGGCCTCCCAAGTGTGGTCCGAGCAGATGGGGTCGGAGGATCGCGACGCGTCGACGGTGCATCGGCGATGTGGCTCGATGTGAACCCCGATTTTCTCCACGCCGGTGGCGCCGTCGCCGGCGGTGCGGCGCGATCCTCGATCCCATCTAGTCGGACCCCGTCTAGGAGGCCTCTGATCCTGCCCCACTGCTCCGCGTTCCAGCTCAGGACCTCGCCGTCCTCGGGGCGCTCGTGAGCGGGGGGGGGGGGAATACAGTAATCAGGCACATGCGATCAGGAATCTCGGCACACGACATCGAGGACCACGTGCGTTGACGAGCTCCGGGTCCCCTGCCTCCTCCTCCTCCTCCTCCTCCTCCTCCCTCCACCTCCTCCCTCCACCTCCTCCTCCTCCTCCTCCTCCTCCTCCTCCTCCTCCTCCTCCTCCTCCTGCGGATCCACAAGGCCATCCGGGGATCCGAAATTTCCGTGGGGAGCCTGCTGGCAGGTCGGCTTCTTGCCTGGTGCGTCTACTGCAGACGGGGGGGGGGTGGAATTTGCGCTTCTTGTTTGAGGCGCTATAGTCACGACTGCCGATTCACTCGTCACTCTGCTCAGCGCTGGAGCCAAGATGGGAAAGAAAAGGAACGGTACGAGCGCGTTTCATTATGCTCGGCGATAAGAGGCATTATAGGAGGGGGGGAGGGGCTCAGGGAGGGGGTCAAATGTAACGCCTCCCCCCCCCCGCCGTGCGCACGGCGGCAGTGCCCAGAGCGCACTGGGGGGGGGGGCGTTACCTTATGGGGGGGGGGGGGCAGGGGCTATAATGCCCATTATGCAGCAAGCAATAAAGAAACACGCACCAAGGGGGAAAGGGGAAGCGGAGCCCCCTCACTGGCTGGAGAGAGAACGCGCGCCTTTCCTAACCTCCCTCCCGGCTCGCGGTCGCAGGTTATGGCCCCCTTCAGGCCGCTCTCCTGCGCTCCTTGACGTAGTCTCCTTCCTCTTTCTCCTCCTCCTTCTCCTCCTCACCTCAGCGATCTTGAATGTATCTGATCATCCACGAAACAGCCGAGACACCATTACAGGATAGGCACCTCAAAGGGATGGCCCAATCCTTATAAATAGTTCTCCCTGTCGAACCCACACAAAGCCAGTTTTTTTTGCGGGCCGGGCGTTTCGCCTGAAACTTCCTCGCCTCTTATGACCCTGAGGCTGAAAAAGTGGCAACAGTTTCACAGATGGAAGGCGGGTAATGTTCAAAACGTGGCTCTCGTCTTAGCGCCGCGTACATTCTGTTTTAACTTTTGCAAGAGTTTCACGGATTGAAGGGCGAGTCGTCTTCAAAATGTGGATCTCGCCTCAGCGCCGCGCACATTCGTTTTACGAAATTTGCAAGGGTTTCACGGATTGAGGGCATTTCCTTTTCAACATGTCGCTCTCGCCTCAGCGCCGCGCACATTCGTTCTTGACATTTGCAAGACTTGCACGGATTCCCATGATCAGCGTGCTAGAAACAGTGTTTTGGGCGGGTACTGGATCATGAGGGTCAATAGTTAGGTTAATTCGCAGTGCTGAAGCCCCAGGAATGGCGTTCTGGCGCGTTTCAGGATCGCCAAGACGCAACAATCAGGTTCACCCGTGGCGTTGGACCCCCGAGAACAATAGTTTGGCATGCATCTGGGTTTTCAAACGGTTGTCTTCCAACGGGGCAATTTCCTCAGTGGAAAAGAACCGTTGTAGGAGCCTATGAAGAGGGAGCTTGGAGGGAGGGTTTATGCCAACATCGTTGATGACTCTTGGGTTTACACTGATGCTCCTCCTCCTCCTCCTCGTCGTCCTCCTCCTCCTCAGCGACTTTGAATGTATCTGATCATCCACGGGACAGCCTAGACACTATTACAGGAGAGGCACCTCAAAGGGATGGCCCAATCGAGGGGGTGGCAGGGGCAAGGGAGAGAGGGCGGAACGGGGAACGGGGGGAGGGAACGAAATGGGAAACAGCTGGCCAAGCCCGTGAGTGGACCCTGGCACCTTGCCCTGTAGGAGCCTGGACCTCACCGAACGTTTCCTGGGGTTGGCGCACGGCTTGCAGAGCCTCTCGCTTCCGCGACAGGAGGCGAAGCCGCCGCACGGCAGGCAGACAACACATCAAAGAACTTCGGGCTCCAACTCTCCAGCCCAACGAAGCTCATGCCCAGGGTCCGAAACGCCCTGGAGGCTCCCCGAAAGGGAGGGGCGCACGCCTTCGCAGGGGCTGGTCGAGGTCGGACCTGCAGCACGAAAGCGCCTGCTGCACCCCAGGACGTCGCCATGGCGCACAGGTACATGCAGAGTCTAAGAGGGGCACGAGCCCTCGAGGCCGCCTTCAGAGCCCCAAGCTGCCTTTCGGCAGGCGGAGACCACGACGGCACGGACAGCCTGCAAGGAGCCAGCGATTGGTGCACTCCTCGCCTGTGCTCTCAAAGTCCTGGGAGCCAAACTTCAGAAGGGTCATGGATCTGAGCCCCTTGCTTCGCCCGCCAATCTACAGCAGTGGGCCCAACTCACGGGGCCCTGGGACACACAGATAGATACACACAAATAAAAGGACTCTCCATAGTTTCCTATATTTTCTGGGTTTTCGTCTTCCCCCCCACTTCCCATATTTTCCCATATTTTCTGGGGATCGACGATGAATCGTGTCTGTGTGTCTTTCTCCCTCCTGACCAACGACTAAGGGCGCGGGCTCGAACGTCGCAGGCGTGGTCCATGGGCCGGTGGGCTTTGACTCTGCACGAGCCGTGATCCACTGAGATTCACCGATGCGCCGACCGTGCAGACGTGCTGCAGCGGATGTTTGCGCGGAATTCTGCCGCTGCAAAACCCCAGAACTGCGGGCGAAAAACGAGGTTCATTTCACGCGGGACTGTTTCAGTCTTCATTCCTGGCCCGAAACGTCCGCACGAAATTCACCTCGAAATCCGGAACGAAATTCTCCAGGAGACTCTGGGTCAGTCCTATTCTTTTCCGAGCGAAATCCGTTCTGCGATGTTGGCGCCATGATTCTCCAGAAGAAGGAACACTTCGAAGCCCCGAACACGGCCTTCGAGGGAGAAAGCCCGGAAATCAAACGTTGGGTTAGCGTTTTTTCATTCGGCGTTTCGACATTGGGCGGAAAGGGGGGGAGGTTGGGGGTCTGGCTCCGGACCTCTGCTTCGTGCAACTGTTTGCGACAGTGCGTCCAATGGGGGGAGGCTCCACCTGCTCAAAACAGGCGCCAAAAAACAGCCAAGATCTACTCCATAGGGGGGAGAGAGGGGGGGCTGGGCGAGGGCCCGCGCCAATCGGCAAAACAATGAATAAAAACAGGTTCACTAATCAACCTCTATGGAAGACGGGTGACCTCGGGCCCATGCAGCTCTTGCCCGAACACCGCGGGTGCGAAGGGGGCCGCGCGGAGCCACCCAAGACGTTTGGTTTGTGGATGCCATGACAATGGACACGCCAACATATCGATCATTGAACTAAACATGCGTTTTTTTATGTGTAAATGTGTAAAACATGTTTTGCTTTCATCTTTCAGACTTGTATAGGACATGTTGTAGACACCTGGAAGCTATTCGGAAACACCCTCCCATTCCGTAGATCGAATTCCACGACGTGTGGTCGAATTCGGGAGGCAAAGGCTTTAAAGGGAAGCGCACACCGCAAAACTACTTTGTGTCCTGACAGCTGCGCGCTGGCGACCCCTGCGCGAGAGACTCCCCCCGCGCGCCATTGCAGCAGCAGGAGCCGCCAGCAAATCAACGTCATCAGCTCCAAAACGGCGTCATCCAAAGATGGATTCATCATGAGCCGAGAAGGCCTTTGGGCCTCCAGCGAATACCATTCCGGTTTGCCTCCTGCCCGACTCCTTTGCCACGCTCCCTTTCCCTGGCGACCTGCTCCCCACCCCCCGCTAGCGACCATGACCCAAGGCTCGCAAGTCCACTCACGACGAAGAGGACCGCCACTGATCTGAGGAAACTGATGCTTACAGTGGCACCAGAACTTGAAGTGCGGCGGACTCTTCTTACACGAGCACTTGGCAAGAGGATCGGCGGGGTGCAGCGCTAAAGCGCGTAATGTATGCATATGTGTCGTAACTTGGGACTCCTCTGTGGAAACCTTGCAAACCAACCAAAGATAACACGAGCAGTTGGGGCAGACAGCCCCTCCACGCACATGAGAGCCACTGCCTGAAGCCCCGCCACACTCGTGTAGAATGCCGATGGGCAAACAGTGAGGGCTGCCGCGAAACCGTGGGCCAGAGGAGGCCCCCCCCCGAGAGATGCATAATCGGCTGGACCCCCTTAAGCGAGGTTGAGCAGTTGAGGACAAGCCCCCAGGAACCAAAATGGCCACGGCCTCCTCCCTCCCCCCTCCTCCTGCCTCCCTCCCTCCCGCCTCCTCTTGCCTCCCTCTCTCCCTCCCCTCTCCTCCCTCCCCTCCCTCCCCTCCCCCCCCCCTCCCCCCGCTCGTCGGCCCCACACCAGCGAACGCCCGCGCCGTCCTGGGTCGCGACGCCGAAGTCCTGGGACTGCCCGTGGAGGATGAACTTCCGGTTGACGAAGGAGCCCCTCTGGTACATGGCGAAGGGGAGCCGCCCCTCTGTCGGCGCTCCGTCGCCGGGCGCGGAGGCATCCTCGGGGAACCACGTGCGGACCCCACCCTGCACGGTTTCCCCTGGGGCCGTCGGCGACCCGAGGAGGACGAGGAGGAGGAGGAGGAGGAGGAGGAGGAGGAGGAGGAGGAGGAGGAGGAGGAGGAGGAGGAGGAGGAGGAGGATGGAGGAGGAGGAGGAGGAGGAGGAGGAGGAGGAGGAGGAGGAGGAGGAGGAGGAGGAGGAGGAGGAGGAGGAGGAGAGGAGGAGAGGAGGAGGAGGAGGAGGAGGAGGAGGCGGATGAGGAGGGGGAGGAGGAGGAGGAGGAGGAGAGGAGGAGGAGGAGGAGGAGGAGTCAGGGTACCCTGAAAGAGAAGAGACGAGGGCACGCGGACAAGAAGCGAGAAGAGGGCAAACGATCCGATCCCGCTCCCTGCCAGCTGCCGCTACGTCTACTTCCGCTGGATGTAATGTGTGGCGGCGCCGGCCGCTGCATTTGGACGTGCTGTGTGAGCGCGCGGGGAAGGTAGCTCGGGAACGGAGAAGAGCGGGATGGAGCGTGCCAGGCGTGGGGCACGGGGCTGCATTGACGGGCGGCGGGGGGCTCAGGGTTGGAGCTGGAAGGCGAGGACAAAGGAGAAGACGAGGAATCCACGAACATATCCAGGGAGTCCGCGTAGGAGGCGAGTATCTTGTTGAATGACGATGCGCACTGCTCCGATCTGATGCTCGTGAGCAGCCTGTCGAACTACTAGACGAAGTTCGCCGTGGAGTCTGCGGGAGTGTCGTGCGTGATCAACTTCTCGCAATCATTCTTGTCGTTGCGATGCTGTAGATCGTCCTTGCTCTCATCCGAAACTCATCGCAAGCAGCCGTGTAGATGCGCTCCATCTTCGCCAACCGCAGGTCGAGGGACTCGAAATTTTTTTGTTCACAGTGCTGATGAGCATCTGCATCTTCTCAAGCACTGTGTCGTAGGGCGGCGTGTGGTTGGAGGCCATATGCTTATTAAGGTTCTCCGACCATGCCAGCAGCGACTTGCCGTTGAGCAGCGTCAGTTTTTTGGTCCAAGACGCGAAAGAGTCCTCCACCCTGCTCACCGTGACGAGCAGGGCTGCGGCAGCGCACGAGACGGCCGCCGATTGGAGAGGGGGCGCGATCGTGTCGATGCTGTGGCCCGCGGAGACGATGTCAGCCCAGGACTGGTTGCCGGAACCGGAGAAATCAGCAGGACGACGACGCGCGCGAGGACCGTCAAGAGGAAGGCCATGGTGAACATGTTTCGAGCGACCGGCATGCTCGAGGACGGCGCGGGCCTTCATGTAGTCAGACTTGGTGAGTTCGCCTCGCCGTAGCGCGCGATGGGCAGCAACTTTCCCGGACGCAGCGGTCGGTAGACCAGCATGCAGGCTAGAGCCATCCAGTTGGCGATGTAGTGACTTACCTCGAGCCATCAGCTTGATGTCGTAGCGGTCGACGGCGTCCACCTCCACAAAGACCTTGAAAGGAGCACTGTGCGACGTCTTGTAGTAGTGGTCCCGCTCATAGCGGCGTTGCTGTGCAGGCGTGAGAGGCGTATCAAGGGTGAGTGCAGAGACCTATGACCGACAGCGTGGCATCACGTAGATCGACTCCACTCGACGGTGGAACAGCACAGGGAAGATGTGGAAAACGATCAGCAGCATCGTGCAGACGCCATGTCTGGTATTCTCGCACCGCGGCGGGCGCCCGAGCGGGCGCATGAGAGGGCCCGTGCAAGCGCGCGCCCTGGAAACTCCTGGGCCAAAATGGCTACGGAAGGAGGAGGAGGAGGAGGAGGAGGAGGAGGAGGAGGGGGAGGAGGGGGAGGATGAGAAGGAGGAGGAGGAGGAGAAGGCTAAGGAGGACGGGTCGCCAAAGCCCTTCGAAGAAACCCTCCACCCTACCCCTGCAGGTCAGAGTTCTGGAAAGGCTGGTGGGGCCCAGAGCTTGAAGGATGCCTGCAACCAAGTGATCACAGGCGGCGAACAGATCTGCATCCGCGCCCTCGCGGTCTGGATTCGGGCGCGGTCCTGCGGATACGCGGTCGCACGGATGCAGTCTGCGCGGGGCGTCCGCGAACAAAACGCCCCGTATCCGCGGGGTCGCGGCCCAGGGGCTCGGCCGCGGATGCGGACATGCTTGTCGCCTACGAGGATGGGCCCCAGCGGAGGCGTCCGATGCCCCAGCGCTTACTGGACCCCGTGGGGGTAGGGTCCGCGATCGGCCGCGGAAGGTCCTGGCCGTTCGACGACAGCGACGCGTAGATACCGACGGCGCCAGAGTGGATCAAGAACAGGCACTGCTCCTCCTGGCCCGGTCCCCAGAGGATGGTGCGGAAGCGGTGCATGCGCAGCCTCGAGCAGTACAGCCACGGGCAGCCACGGCGCTCCGCGTCCGCCTCGAAGACGTGGGTGAACGGCTCGAAGGACCTAGCGAGGCTCACCTGCTTGTGGCGAATTCGCAGATCTGGGTGGACCTTCAGCCACTGATCCACCTTCTCACGGCGGTACTGCAGGACGAGCTCCTCCACGTGGAACACGGCGTCGTTCAGCTTTCTGAAGCACGTGCTGGGGTCCGCGATGACGCCTCTGCCTTTGAGAGAAGTCAAGACCGGCGGGGCAAGGTTTGTCCACAAGAACTTTGTGCCCCGCCCATTGGCTTCAGTGATTAGTTTGCGGAATACAGCGCACGCAGAAGCGTCCATACCATCAAGCAACGAGCAATCCAAGATCGCGAAGCGCGTCCGCTTGTAGTGGTGTGAACTCACCCGAACCAACGATATGTGCAAAGGACCCCCACGTGCAAGTAGCCGCCGGAAGCTATGGCATGACATCGGGTCACTTGACAACGGTGGCAGAGAAGTGCCAATGCCACCAGGGATGACGTTGACAATCTTGTCCCCATGCTCAATCGTTTCCTTTGGGTTGTTCCTGTTCCACTCCGCAACCGCGCCATCGCTGGCGATTCCAGTGACCTCCAGTGACTTCCCGTCGCCGCAGTCCCTGAGCTCGAGGCCTAAATTTATGCATCACGAGTGCCTCTCCCCCTCCCCCCTCCTCTTCCTCTCCCCTGTCTTGCTTGGGAGGAGGGGGAGGAGGCACTGGTTCTGCGAATGCTTGGGCCCCCTGGCCGGAGCTCGAGGCCCAACGAGTCGCCGCCCGAGGCGTATAGGCAGATTGTCAAGGTGCTCCTGCTCTGCATGCTGGCTTTCACAAGCTCCACCATCTTCTTCGCCGAAGCAAAAAATATATACCCTTTCAGAGGCATAACAAAAAACCATGCGTTAGCGATGTGCCGGGCGGCCATTCGAGTCAGTGGGTTACGCCGCGCGTGCGAGGTGATGCTTCCGCCTCTGCATGGCTCTCCCGAGAGTAGAGGGAGGCTGGCATACTGCAGGGTGAAGAACGTTGCAGTCAAGAGGATTCCCACACCCACAGCATAGATGAGCTGACCGCTGATAATGAAAACCAAGAGGATTGCTATTACCTCCAACCACTCCTTGAAAGACATGTACTTGCTGGAGCCGTACAGATTCTCCGCCACAAAACCAGCACCCGCGAAGAATAGCAGCATGCCCAAGAAGAACCTCGGCAGGTAGTTGAAGGCGGCAGTCGTCCAGAGGAAGCACACAGCGCACAAGAGGGCATAGATGATCCCTCCGCGCCTGTCCTTGGCGTTCCCCAGGATCCCAAAGTTGATCACGTTGAACTTCAGCTGCATGTAGCCACAAGGAGAGCCGCAGAGACACATCAGAGCGTTGCATGCGCCGTACAGCTGACACTCATAGGTCACCTCTGGCACAACAGGCAGCTTATTCTCCGTGCCTTTCAACTTCAGGAGGCAATCGACCATGACAACGATGATCATCGTGACGAGATCTGGGATTGTTTTCAGCCACGCTGCAAAGTTGATATGCTGGAACTTCCACTCGTTGCCATCAAACACGCCCTCAGCCCATATCGTCCAGAAGTCGATGTTATCTACGATGGGGAACATTACGTTCTCTGTTCTAGCATGTTCAAGATCCTCGTAGAACACACCGTAGGCAACGAGCACATGAAAAATGGCGAGGGGTATCAATAACATCGAAGGTATCACTACTGCCGGATTCCCGATGTGGTTGGCCTTGAGGAAATAGAGTATCACGCCAATAACAACCGCGGGTAGAAATGTTTTGGGGTCGTACTTGCAAAACTTCAACGCGTAAGCGAACACCTTGTAACCGACACAAGACAGAAATGCCTCAGATATACTGGTGGGCACGTAATTCACATACCGGCTCAGATTGAAACGCCCGGCCAGAAACAGAAGCAGCCCCAGCAGCGCCGACGAGAAGGCCACTGCGAATATAGTGGTTGTCACCAACTGCTGGTTATACTCGCTGCATGCTGCAGCATCGTACGAATCTGAACCTAGAGGCCTCCTAGATGGGGTCCGAGTAGATGGTGTCGGAGGATCGCGCCGCATCGCCAATGCATCGCGAGCTCACCCCCGATGCATCGGCGACGTCGGCGATGCACCGGCGTGGGAAACACACGGGCTCCACACCGAGCCGCACCAGCGATGCAGTGGCGAGGCAGCAAGATCCTCCGACCCCATCTGACTACCTACCAGACCACCCCAACCCAACCCGAAGACCCGAATTTGACCCGAATTTCGGGTTGGGGGGGGTACGGATACCATGTGTTTTTTCAACGTTTCCCGACCCCCCCCCACTGGAAATGGAGGGCAGATTGAGGGCTTCGGGTTGGGTTGGGGTGGTTTGGTGGGTGGTGACCATCTGCTCCGACCCCATCTGGGAGGAGGGAGGCTGGAGAGGAACCCTCCCGGCAGAAGCTGTCTTCGGCCCCCGCGCACGCAGCACCACCGGCTGCGCCCAGCAGTCGTGCACCGACCGCCTCTGCCACGGCGGCCAGACCGCGAGGCCTCGACTCCAGCCGCCGACCACACGTGAACTCGTCCTGGCCCGGGTAGCTCAGGCCGACGCTCGCGGCGATGACTGGCGCCATGGTTGCGACGAAGGAGCCCAGGAACACGATGGGGTTCAGATCGGGGCCCGCGATCGCGACCGGGATCCTGGAGCAGGCGGCCACGATCAGGCCACAGAAGGCCGAGGTGGCCAGGCTCATCTTGACGCCGAGCGACTGCCACTTCGCGTTGACCTCGTCGAACATGATCATCCCGTAGGCGCAGCAAAGGCCGAACATCAGCAGGAAGTTGATGATCCCGGAGACCACCGCCGCGAGCAGGCTGGGCTCCTTCCCGAGGTGCGCGTGCGAATGCCCGCCCACCACCCCGCCGCGCGTCCCCTCCTGCGCCTCCACGAGGAGGCCCTCGACGCGCTCCGCCGCACGGCACAGCTCCGCGAGGCTCTCCGCGTGCGAGCCGTCGCACCCGTAGGTGGGCACCCAGTCGTCGGGCTGCTCCGCCTTCTGCGGCAACTCCTGGGAGCCTCCCGTGCCACCCTGTTGGCTTCGCGGATCGACGCTGACTCGACGCCGAATCGGCGCCCGTCGACGCTAGACCGGCGCTGCCTCGTCGACTCCCAGCCACCGCCAATCGACGCCAGTGCACTCCAGGGACGGAGTTACGAGGGCACACGAGGCTCCCAGAATTTGCTGCCGCATCCGCGTGTGCCTCCTCGTGCCCGGGAAGAGCGTGGTGGCCGCCCTTCCGCAGATCATCGAGGCCCTCCCAGACGCCGTGCGCGGAGTCTTTGCGGCCCTTCTGGTCGCCAGCCTCCACCGCGGGGCCCTCGGCATCGCGAAGACCCCGCAGCCCGGCAATCGCAGCGACCTGACCCGTGCCACTTTGGACCGAGCCGGGGCGTGAGACTACCGAGGTCAGAGCAGGCCTGGGGGCCATGGCGATCCCGGGCCGCCTTAGAGCCCGAGCTTGGGCAGAAAACTACGGCCCAGGAGAGGAGCGGTGATGACAGGAGGGCGGAGGAGGCGGAGGGGCAGGGAATAGGCGAAGGCGTAAAGCAAAGCTGCAGCAGAGGGACGACTGCACTCAACACCCAGCAGTATCAGACGAGTGCACATGCTTCACCCTCCCTTGACCGCAGACGACCAACAAGTACTCCAGCGCAAGGGTCCTGGCAGCGACGGGGCTACCTCGAAATAGTGGGAAGACACCTTGGCAGATCAACTTCAATGGCCAGCCGCTGCACTGCTAACAAGCTGCTTCACACAAGTGCAGTCAGTCAGATGCAGCACGTTGCAGGTGTGCGCCTCTAGAACTTCCCAAGACGGCCCAAACCATAATGCATCGGGGGGCCCTGGAGGAAACGAAGACGGCCCAAGAGGCCGCCAAGATGGCCCAAGGCAGCCCCCAGAGAGCAACAGGGCGGCGACGTAAGAGGCAGTAGGATATGCCCGAGGCGCCCAAAAGCACCCCAAGAATCCTACAGCTCTGAAAGCCGCCGAGGGGTGGCTGCATGCGCAGTGTTTGGCAGCATAGGCTTCACCAATCCGCAAGACTCGCCATGTGTTCTCACATCCTGGTCGCATCGCCATCCAAACTTCAGTAACTGGCTTAAGTTTTGTGTATGTGATTTGATGGGTGGCTCGTGCAGTCCTCGGACCGAACTCCTGCTGGGCGCTGCAAGTCGGTCAACAACAACTGCAGGGTCACCATTACTCAGCACAACATTGCATTCTATGAGGTGACATTGTTCTACCCCCGCTAGACCCCAAGCGCATTGCTCGATTTATTGAATAGCGTGAGCCGAGAATCGGGGGAGGGGTCCGAACTGCCAACGCAACCAAGCAGGAGAAGCGACCATGATCATGTGAATCTACAAACATATGTGTTGTCCATCAGTGTACATGCGTGTAGACAGCGTGTATACATATATAGACCGAGAGAAAGAAAGAGAGAGAGAGAGAGACTGAACTATTGAGAGTTAGAGGGAGAAAGAGGAAGAGAGAAAGAGAGAGAGAGAGAGAGAGGGGCCTGACAAACCGTCCACTCTCGCACAGCTTGGATGCAGCATTGGCTACCCCGATCCCCAAACTTGGCATGTTTATATACCTCAGAACATACCTGGACTCTCAGAAGACTCATAACTTCGGGGGTGGACAGGACCCCCCTTAGCCAAACGTGGTTTAGTGAAAACGGCCTCGGGCCCAAACCTGGCGGGCGCAAGCCTGGAAAATGACGGCCGCGGAGCCCTTTCGAGAACCGACAATGGGCAACTCACTAATCGACGTGTCAGGGTGGGCGTTCTGTTCGCCCCCGAGAACTGCCCTCACACCATAACTCCGCCTGCTCCGCTGCCCGTGCCCACGCTCGTAGCCATCGCCTCCCGATTCCCTCTGGAAGAGGAGGAGGAAGAGGAGGAGGCAGCGGAAGAGGAGGCTTCTTTCACGGGCTCTTTCACGGAGTGGGCACGCAGGGAGTTGTAAACTCCCCTCTGCTGTGCAAGCTGTGTTTTCAAGATTGGATATATATATACATATATATATATGTGTATATATACATGTGTAAACATATAAACAAACAACTCCCGAGAATCGAGCCGTGCTCAATCCCTACCCTTCTCTATGCCTCGGTTCTCTGTCCCCAGCACTATCTTTAGGTCGGGCATGTCCCCCGACAGGCGGATTTTGGACGAAAAACCGAAACAATCAAAAAATGCCCCAAACTAGTCCAACACATATTCACCAAATCGGCCCCAGACACTTTTGTGTAGGTTTGGGCATTCCTCCTGTAGAGGGACAGGCCCGACTTAACCCCATCTGTTCCTCGCCCTATGCGCCGCTGCTGGGTCGCGCGGAAGCCGAAAGCACAACGCGAGAAGAGCCGCCTTGTCAGAAAAACACGGATCCTGAGAGAGACGGGTCCTGGACGGCGGGGCCTTCCCTGGAAGAAGCAACTGCACAAACATAAACTTTTGGCGCTCCGCGCGGAATTCTCGGATCTGCGCTGGACCCCCCCTCCCTGGCGCGCGGAGCGCGCCCAGGGGTGGCGCCAGAGGCGCCGCCGAGGGGTGCCAGCGCGGATCCGAGAAATCCGCGTGGGGCGCCAAACGTGTGTTTATGATGTGTTTTCTTCGATTCCCGGGGGACCCGCTCTTCATTGCCGAAGAGTGCTCTGACGCAGGGCTTCGAGGACCCCCGAAACCTGGCAGAACATCTCTAGGGCCCGCTTCCCGCAAGACCCCTCTGCTTCCTGGCGCTCTGCCGGGGCACTCCTGGAGGCCCGCCGGCAGCGTCGGCGCGCGGAAGTTCTCCGGAGTGAAGGCGAACTGCGGCTGCTGCGGGGCCCTGGCCGCTCGCAGGGGCGCGTGCTGGCACAGCCCGCCTCGACAAGGCCGCCGACGAGTTGCTGCTGCCACGCGAGGCCCTGAAAAGGCTCGCATCGGCGCTGCGGCGGAGTCTGCCGGTGGCACGTAGGAGTGACCCTTGGCGAGGGTGGCCTCTGGTTCGGGGGCCGCGGGGAGGCCGACTCGGAGCGCGCGAGCCGCTGCCATCGCATCGCATGCTGCCATCGCATCGCGTGCACCAGAAGCCACTCCGGCGAAGGAGATCTGGGGCCATCCGGTGCTCACCGCGCGGGACGGGTGAGAGCACGGCCAGGCAGGGCTGAACCAGAGGAGGAGGAGGAGGAGGAGGAGGAGGAGGAGGAGGAGGAGGAGGAGGAGGAGGAGGAGGAGGAGGAGGAGGAGGAGGAGAAGGAGGGGGGGGGGGGAGGAGGAGGGGGAGGGGAGGGAGAGGAGGAGGGGAGGGGGGGAGGAGGAGGGCGAGGGAGACCCGGGCGCGGTCTCCGGGCGGTCTTCTGGTGGTCCTCGGCGGTCATCATGGCGGTCTGCGGCGGGCCCCGCCGCTCTCCGGCAGCTCCAAGGCGCGGCAGCTGGGCAGCTGTGCTTTCGCAGCGGGCTCGTTACGATCGAGCGCTAAAGAAGGGAGGGTCCTGGAAGCCCCTCGCCGCGCTCGGGCCTCTGGGGTACAGCTGGCCCCAAGGCATGATCGCATCCTTCAAGGACGCGAGGCCCTCCGCCGGCCAAGCTGAAGAACACTCGAGGGCACCCCCCCCCCCCAGGATGCACAAGAACACTCAACGAGCACAAAAACCATCAGGGTACCATCCCCGAGCCGACCTCGATCTTATAGTTGACCGCCCGAAATGAGTACGACGCCCATCAAAACCGACAGCGGCCGCCGTTGGGCAGGCGGCAGTCTGTCTCAAATGGATAACGACCGCGGCGACGCCGACAACGAACCCTATTCAGAATGAACCAGAAAGCCTGTTGTACTTTGTGCCTGCTGTTTCCGCACCCATTGCGATCGTCCCGATAATGCCTCGGTCCGACCGTACCTGAGGCCCTCCATGGGCCCGGACAAAAACCGTCAAGCAGACGGATCTCGGGAACCCAGCATCCGACGGCCCCACGCCGCCGGCGGTCCTCTTGGGGGGCCTGCTCCTCCTCCTCCGCCTTCTTGCCTCGATCCTGTATGCCCTGGATCTTGGATCGTCAGACATAGACCCTCGGAGCATCCAACACGGCTGTTGGGGCATGCGCTCTGCCTTTCACATCTCGTCCGCCCCCCCTCTGTTGGAGGGACTTCTGCAGCCATTTAAATAAGGCCTTTGGGGGGCCGTGTGCGGCCTCTTAGGGCTTATTTATCGGCTTCGAGGGGGCCTCTTGGGGCCCTCTTGGGGTCTCGTCGGTGCCGTTTGGGCCGTCTCGGAACAGTCTTTGGCCGTCTTGGGCGCATCTTGGGCCGCCTGGGGGCCGTCTTGGATCTCTTGGGCGGCTGTTGGGGCTGTCTTTGGCGTCCTCTAGGCCGTCTTGGGGCCGTCGTGGGCCGTCTTGGGCGCCTATTGGGCCGTGTTCGGGCCGTCTTGGGGGCTGTCATGTCTTGGATGCCTCTTGGGCCGTCTGGGGCGCCTCTTGTACCGCCCTGGGCCCGCCTTGGGGCCCTTATAAGGGGGCATCTTGGGACGATCGCGGGGGGCTCCGTGGCCGTCGTGGACGCCTCGGAGACGAACAGCACGAGAATGCCAAACACAGCAGTTGTCCGAAGAGAATGGGGCGATTTTTGTCGGTGATCTCCTGACCCGGGTCAATCCAGACCCGGGTCAGCAGGAAACCAAAAAAATGCAATGCAATGCAGGAACAAAAAAACTGCAACGCAGGTCTTCGCAAACCCGGGTCAGCCAATATGCGCGGCCGCCTCGCGGCCACGAGCGGCTCGCTAACCCGGGTCAGCCAGAGGGGGTCCTCGCAGGATCCTGAAGGATCCCGTGCCCTGGCTGACCCCCCTTTGCATGGACCCCCGTCTCGAGGCTCCCGACTTTGCGTCTCGGGGCTGTCCCGGGAACACCTCTCGGGGAGACGTAAGACCTGGGTACGGGGGACTCGGAAATCCCCGACGAGGTCGTCAAAAAAATGGCGAGGCCGAGCCTGCCTTTTGACGAGGCCTCCCGCTGCAGACATCCCACAAAACTCCTCCTCGTCAAAATCCGAGCCGCGGTCGTCAAAAAACGATGGCGAACCCGAGTCCTGGCAAACCCGGGTCTTACGCTCCCCCGAACCTCGAGGGCCGTCTTCGGAGGCACCCGGCCCGCCCGGGGGGCCCCATGGAGCGCCTCGGCGCGCCCAACTGGGGCCGCGGGGGGGCGGCCTCTGGAGCGCCTCGGGGCCGCCTTTTGGGGTCGCGGGGGCGCCCTCTGGAGCGGCTCGGAGTCGTCTGTGGGCCGTCGGGGCGGCCTCTGGAGATCGTAGCCGTCGTGGGGCCGTCGGGGCGCCCTCTGGAGCGGTTCGGAGCCGCCGGAGACCGCTCTGTCCAGAAGCCCTTTTCGCACGCACGGCTCCCGGTATCGTGGGAGAGACTGGTGCTTGACCCATGGACAACGTCCTCGGCATCTGCTCGAGGTGGCGAGCGGTGTCTGGGCAAGCGTGCTCGCACCTGCCCCGTGCCTTCTACAGCTGCTTGCTGTTGAGTGCTGCTTGTTGCCACTTGCGGCCTTTCGTTTGGTCCTGCTTCTTCTGCCGCCTGCGGCAACGGCTTGCTACGGACTGATGCATGTGCTAGCTTCTGCCTGGTGGTGGATGTTGCCGCCTGCCTGCTGCTGCTGCTGCTGCTGCTGCTGCTGCTGCTGCTGCTGCTGCTTGCTGCAGGATGCTGCTTGGCACTTGTGATGACAACGCGTGCTGATGCTCAAGCTGCAGCTGTTGCTCGCCGTTGCCTCTGTTCCCTGCTGCCAGATCTTCCTCCTCTTTCTCCGTTCCTCCATCCTTCTCCCCCTCGACGCTCCATCGCGCCAATCGTCGTTTCTACGACGACGACGACGCTTCCAAGAGCACAAGCATCCAGGACCTCTGGGGGCCTTCTGCTTGCCTCTTGTGGATCTCTTGGGCTGCCCCTGCGCCGTCCCGGGCGCGTCTCAATCAGTCTTGGGACCGTTTTGGGCCGCTCTTCGGGCTCTCCTGGTGTCCTCTTGGGCCGTCTGGGCGTCGCTGGGGCCGTCCTGGGGCTGGCTTGGGGCGTCGTGGGGCTGTCTTGGAAGCCATCTGGGGTGTCTCGGGGCAACCTTAGAGGGCTGCAGGGTGTCGAGTGCTGACCCATAGGCTCTGCCCATGAAGGCAAGGATGTCAGCGTGTGTCTGCTGTCGCTTGTTGCGCTCGGATGCTTGCTGCCGTTTCATTGCTAATGCGCGCGCACCGTCTTGCCGTTTGCGTGATGTCTGCTTGATGTCTGCTGGACCTGCGAGTTGCTCCTGCTTGCCAGGGCCCTCGGAGCGTGGAACAAAAAAACTCCTTCGGGCGTGCGGCGAGCCTCTCGCCTCTCGTCCGCTGCCCATGCCTTGAGAGCAGCTTGGGAGCCTCTTCTGGGGGCCTCCTGGAAGCCGTTCGGGGGCCTCCTGGGGGTCTCTTTTCGGCCTCCTGTGGGCCTCTGAGGGCCGCCTTGGGCGCCTCGTGGGCCGTCTTGGTGCTGTCTCGGGGGGGCCATCTTGGGCGTCTCCTGGGCCATCTTCGAGCCTTCCTCGGTGCTTGTGAGGCCTTTTCCGGATCCTCTGCCTTCGAGCGTCCGGGGGAGCCCCAGCCGCCGTCTTGGGCTGGTCTTGGCTCGAAATGGCGAGAAGCTGGAAATATTTGAAAAACCATGGGGGAGATCAATGATGTCGTTTGCCGCGCCAGTCTGGACGGCCTTTGGGGCTGTGTAGGGTGTGGGGGTCATATTGGGGGTGTTGGGCCATATATCGGAGCTCTCTGTGAGTCCTCTTGGGCGGCTCTTGGGGCCCGTCTGGGGGCTCCTGGGGGCTCTCTCGCGCCGTCTTTGGTCTCTCTTGGGCCGTTTCGGGCTCCTCCGGGAGGCATCTTGGACCACTCCTGAGCCATCTCGGAGCCCTTGCTGGAGCCTCTTGAGCCTTGGAGCATTCGTGGGGAGCCCAGGAGCCTGAGCTCGAAGTCGCGAGAATCTGGAAATCAGGCAACAACCATGAACAAGTCAATACTTTTTGGCCGCCGCGAGCTGTCTGGACGGCCTCTGGGGCCGTCCTGGGGCCATGTTGGGGCTATTGGGCTGTCTCGGAATTTTCCGTGAGCCCTCTTGGGTGGCTCTTGGGGCTTGAGCTTTGGGGCTGCTTCGGAGCTTTCCGTGAACCCTCTTGGGCGGCTCTTGGGGCCCGTTCAGGGGCTCCTGGAGGCTCTCTCAAGCCGTCTTGGGGCTCTCCTGGGCCGTCTTGGGCTCCTCTGGAAATCGTCTTGGAGTCTTGTAGCCCTCCTGAGCCGTCTTGGGGCCCTTGCCGGAGCTCCTGGGCGGCCTTGGAGCGTTCGGGGGGGCCCAACAACCGTCTTGGGCCGCTCTTAGCTCGAAACCGCGAGAACCTCGAAATTATGCAAGAACTGCAATCAATGATGTGGGGCCGCCGCGGGCCGTCTGGACGGCCTATGGGGCCGTCTTGGGGCCACTTTGGGGCTCTTGGCCCAATCACGGCGCTCCCTGAAGGCGTCCCGAAGCCTGCCCGAGCCGCCCGGAGGCGCGCCGGGCCGCGCCCGGGGCTCCAGGGGCCGGCCGTGGCCGCGCCAGGGGCCCGCCGAGGCCGAGTTCGGACACTTGAGCCGTTCCCCTTCCCGCACGCGCTTCCCCCCGCCATGCAGGAGAGACTCGTGCGAACCCGTGGATTGATTCCACGGTGTGCCGAACCTGAGATTCGCACACCGTGGGTGAGCAGCCCCTCGAAACTGGGCAGCTCGGGCGTGCCTGGGGCTGTGTCGGGGGCATGCTGGGCACGCCTGCGAGCCTGTCTGGGGCGTCTTGAAGGCCTCGTGCGGTTTTTGGGCGCCTCTGCGGCCCTTCCCTCGCTGTCCCCAGGGCCTCTTGTGGGGGAAAGCCTGGCAAACTTCTTGCGCGTGCGTGCTGTGAGGTTGCTGTCCCAAGGTCCCCCCCTGTCATCCATGAGGTTAGCTGCAAGGCTTCCTGCAGGCTCCGGGAGCCGGGGGTGGAGGCTGTCTTGGAATACCATGGGGGTGTCTGCGACACCTCGGAGTGGTCTCCAGGGAGGGGTCTCGTGGCCTTGGGGCTGTCCTGGGGGCCGCCGAGGGCTCTGCTCGGCCGTGGGAGGCAGCGAGGTGCTGGTCCCCGCAGGAGGAGGAGGAGGAGGAGGAGGAGGAGGAGGAGGAGGAGGAGGAGGGAGCGACCGAGGTGGCTGCAGGTCCCCGCTGTCACCCTGTAGCAGGCGGAGCGGAGGCCCCAGAGCGGCGCCGGAGCCTCGAGGAAGGAGGGAAGGGGGGAGAGAGATCAGAGAAGGTCCCCCCCGTCACCCCTGAGCGGCCGCAGGGGGGAGGTCTCGAGGGCCACTCCCGGCCATCTCGCAGTGGTCTTGGGATCGCTCTTGGGAGCTCCGTGTGAACTATTGGGGTCTCTTCCCGGAACCGTTCTTGGGAGCTCCGTGGGAACTGTCGGAGTCTCTTGGCGGGCGTCGGAGTCGTGTGAGCGACTCCGGGGCATCTCGGAGTGGCCCGGGGACCGCTCGTGGGAGCTCTGTGGGGACTGTCGAAGTCTCTTGAGCGGCCCCGGGTTAACTCGGAATGGCCTGGGGGTCTGGGCTTTCTTGGTGGCGTTTGGGTTCGAGAGATGGCGACAGGGCGCCGTGGCTCGAGGCACTCTCCTAGGGAGCTCCCTTGGAACCGTCGGAGTCTCTGGGGAGATTCTGGGGCATGTGGAAGTGGCCCTTGGAGGGTTCTTGGCCCACTAGGGTAAGGTCGACTTTGTAGGAAAGATAGAACATACTCCAAAAATGCCCCCAACTATGTTTGAATATCCCTCCTGTAGAAGGAAACGCCCGACTGAACACTAGAGGCTGCGGGAACGGCGTCGTCTGGGCTCCCTTCGGTTCCTCTTCGAGCCCTCGTGGGGGTCTCTCTGGAGCCTCTTGGGGCCCTCTTGGCCCATTTCGGGGCATTGGGCCGTCTCGGGGGCCTCTTGGGCCGTCCTTGGGCCATGTAGGGGGTCTCGGGCCGTCTTGGAGCTCGCTTTGGTGCCTGTTGGGCAGCTCCTACAGCCATCGGCCTGACCTAAGGAACGATAAATAAGGAACGAAGCTGTTTATTCCAAGGAATAACGCATAAATAATGATACTTAATCTATGATGCATAAGGAACGATGTATAACGCATGCAAGCCTAATGAACGACCGAGCCCCTTCTGAAAAGTAAGTGCTCCTTATTCAAGCCGCTCACTGTAAGGCCCTCTTGCGGCTGTCTCGGGTGCCACCAGGGGCTCTATGAGGCTGTCTTGGGCTTCTCCTGGGCAGTCTTCGGGCCCTCTGGGGCCGTCTTGGGGCACTTGGCGGGGCCTCCTGGAACGTCTTGGGGCGATCTGGACTGGCCCTGGAGCCGTCTGGGGCCAATCTTGGCCTGAAATGGTGAGAACATGGAAAACCTCGAACAACTCCCAGACACCTTATGATTTGGGCCTGGGGGGACCATCATCAAGGTCTGGTTCAGCAGTTTTCCGAGGCACCTGGCCCGTCGTCGGGCCGTCTCAGTTTGTCGTGGGGGGCTCCGTTCGGGTCCTCCCGGGCCGTTCTCGCGCGCTCCAGAGCGTCTCAGGGCTGCCTGGTTTTCAGCGCATACTTTGGAGACTTCTTTCGGCGCATATTCTGGAGAAGGGAAGAAGAGGTGAAGGGGGAAGGCACGACGAACATCCTGCTGATCGACTCGTCAATCTGTCCACCGTGGGCTTCAGGAGTAGAGCCTGGAGCGATACACATTGGCCCCTAAAACGTATCAACGCCGTGGGGTGAGGAGAAGGAGAGGGAGGAGGAAGAGAGGAGGACAGAAGAGAGAGGAGAGCGACTGAACCATGAAGGGAAAACCACGAAAATGGATGCCGATCTCTGGAGCCGTCGGACAGCGCCGAGGCGCTTCGGGCGTCGAGGGCAGCTCATCACAGCCCCTTTTCGTACGCGCAGCGCCTCGAATTGTCGTACAGATGACGTCAAGCTCAAGTTTCCACTCCCACATCGCTCTGAACACCGACAATGCTCGTTGCCCGCCTTGTCTGCATGCGCCGGCAGTCGCAGTGTGGGAGCCTGGGATGGCGTCCAGCTCCAGCTTCACCTCCCGCACCTCGCCGAGTATCACCAGGGCCCGTTGCCACAGCTCGCCCTTCTCGCAAGCGCTGATCCCAGATTTGCGTCTGTCTAGTGTGAACACACACAGCAAGTTCTCAAGCGATGCGGCAGGCTAACATGGCGAATCTGAAATATTGGCGACCACCTGTTGGCCCGGGGGGCAGTCCACCGTGTCCCGCACGCATGTAGCTGATGACGTCGGGCTCCAGCTTCGATTCCCATATCTTGCTGAGCAGTGCTAAAGCCCGCTGTCACTGCTCGCCCTCCCCCTGGACTCCGCAGGTACAGCTGCTGCCACTGATGTCGGCAGATTTGCCCATACGCAAATCTCAATACCCAGTGACTCAAAGCAGCGACGTACCTCTTCATCGATATCGTCTGGCAAATCCAGAAAGAGCTTCGTCGGAACTTGTGGTGGGCCCAACTGATAAAGAACAGTGCGCCCATAGACTGCTTCATCTGGTCAATAGAGGCGCCCAGCTTCACTTCGCGAAGATCTAACCAGGCAAGGGTGCCGCTTTCGTCCACGTGGGACTTCACAACATCGGTGAAGGAGGTAAGGCCACCCACAGCGCCAATGCCCGTCGTAGCCTCTAGTTTGCCAGGGGATTGTCTGCGAATCCACTGCTGCGAGACAGCAGCCTCGGAGGTGGCAACTGCGCTGCCACGTCGTACACGGTTGATGTTACAAATGCGCCTGCTCCCGCTACGACGCTTGAGAGGGCTCATTTCTGTGGGGCACACACGATTGCGAGCCTGCCTGGATCGTCTGCGTTTTCAGCGCTTGTGCGACATGTCAGATCAGCCTCTTCGGGTCTGCATTTGCCGTTTGAGCGTAAATCAGTGATGACGCTCGGCTCAAGCGTTGTCTCACGCATCTCATTCAGCTGTACCGAAGCCCGCTGCCACTGCTCGCCACTCTCGCAAACACTGGTCCCATCGCTGTACCCGATGGTGTTGGGCTATAACTTTGCCTCCTGCATCTTGCTCATCAGCGCCAAAGCCCACTGCCATTTCTCGCCCTGCTCGCCCGCGCCGACCCCAGCATTGTAGCTTGTGGCGGCGTTGGGCTTCAGCTTCGTCTTGCGCATCTCGCTGATCAGCGCCCAAGCCCGCTGCCACTGTTGGCCCTTCTCGCACGCGCTGACCCCAACGCTGTAGCTGACTAGTGTGTACCTGTGGACGCTGAGGGGGGCAGTGCTTGTAGGGCGTGCCTGCGGCAAACAGTTCTTCTGGTCGCACCACTCATCGAGTGTGAACGAACGACGACGACGTCGGCCGCATCTGACATGCTGCGGGATGTCCTCACTGCAATTGCTTCTAGGTTGCCCTCGGGTCCGCTAGGGGCCTCTCGCAGCGCTCCCGGGAGCCGCCTGAGCCCACCCTGAAGCTCCAGGGCAGGCATGAACGCGAGCCCGAAGAGGCCCTGAAGGGCGTTTCTAGACGGCTTCAAGTGGATTGACGCCACTTGCTTTCTGGCCATGTTGGGGTGCCCCTTGGGGCGGTCATGGAGCCTACCAGGAGCGCTCCTGAGTTCTGCCTGACGTTCGGGGCACCCCAGAACGGACCCCGAGAGGCTTCAACAAGACCATCCCAGAAGACGCCATGCGGACTCCAAGATAGCTCTGAAGCAAGTGGCGTCCCTACACTTGCTTGTGGATTCTCTCCGGGCACACCTGGTGCCTTCTCGGAGCGCTCCCAGGCGCCGCCTGAGTCACGCCCGAAGCCCCAGGGTAGGCTAAGTCGGGCCTGTCCTCCTACAGGGGGAATTTGGACGAAAAAATTCAAAAAGTCAAACAATACACCAAAATGGTCAGAAAATACTATCAAAAATCGTCCCCAGACTGTTGTTTTACTATTTTTGAATTTTCCTCCTGTAGAGGGACAGGCCCGACGTAAGGGCAGGCAGGAGCGGCCCCGCGAGGCCACAGGGAGGATTCGAGGACGGGCTGAGGTGGACTCCAAGAGACCCCTAAGAGCAGGTGGAGTGACGCCACACTTGCCTTTGGACCCTCGTGGGGTGCACTCGGGGCTCTGCTGGAGCCTCCCGAGAGCGCGCCTGACTTCTGCCTGAGGCCCCTGGGCAGCTCTGAGAGGGCCCCGAGACGGTTCACTCCACTTGCTTGTGGATTCTCTCCGGGCACACTCGGTGCCCTCTGGAAGCGCTCCCAAGCGCCGCCTGAGTCCCGCCTGAAGCCCCAGTGTAGGCCCAAGTGGGCCCCAAGAGGCCCCAGAGGGGCTTCCAAGACGGCTTCAAGTGGATTCGAAGAGAGCCCAAAAGCAAGTGGAGTGACGCCACTTGCTTGTGAATTCTCTCCGAGCCCACTTGGGGCCTCTCGGAGCGCTTCCAGGCGCCGCTTTCAGTCTCATCTGAATTCCCAGGGTAAGCAGGAGCGGGCCCCACGAGGCCACGAGGAGGCTGCGAGGACGACTTGAAGTGGATTCCAAGAGAAGGCAAACGCAAGTGAAGTGACGCCACTTGCTTTTCGGCCCTCTCGGGGTGCACTTGGGGCCCTGTTGGAGCCTCCAAGAAGCGCGCCTGAGTTCTGCCTGAAGCCCCGTGGTAGCTCCGAGAGGACCCCGTGACAGTTCAAGGGGACACCCCAGAGAGCTCCAGAAGGACTCCAAAACATCCAAAAGGCAAGTGGCGTCGATCCACGTGCTTTCGGATTTTCTCCGGGCACACTTGGGGCCCTCTGGAAGCGCTTCCAGGCGCCTCCTAAGTCCCGCTGAAGCACCCAGGGTAGGCCCAAGCGGGCCCCAAGAGGCCCCCGAGGGGCTTTCAAGACGGCTTCAAGTGGACTCGAAAAGAGCCCAAAAGCAAGTGGAGTGACGCCACCCTTGCTTTTGGACCCTCGTGGGGTGCACTACTGAAGGGGCCCTGGGACACACAAATAAATTCACACAATTAAAACTATCTCCCATATTTTCCCATATTTTCTGGGTTTCTGTCTTCCCCCCCACTTCCCATATTTTCCCATATTTTCCTGGGAGAGGAGGATTAATTGTGTCTGTGTGTTTTTTCCCCTCCTGAACTACTAGGAACCCCTCGGGACGCCCCTGGGGAACACCGGAGGTCTGCCGCAAGTCCTGCCGCAACGCCGACAGGACTTGGAGTGGTTCCACGGGCGTGCCGGCTCCTGGAGTTCGAACCCGGATCCTGGAGGTTCGAACTTTAAAGACTGAAGGGGCCCCAGGACACACAAATAAATGCACACAAATAAAATGATTCCCCATATTTTCCTATATTTTCTGGGTTTCTGTCTTCCCCCCCACTTCCCATATTTTTCCATATTTTCTGGGGGGGTCGACGATTAATTGTGTCTGTGTGTTTCTTTCCCTCCTGAAAGACGATCTGAAGTGAGGGGAAGGGCCCCAGATCCAGAAAACCGATCAAAGTGGGTCTCTGAACCTTTTCCGGGGTCCGCCCGACGCAGTTCCTCGGCCCAGACTTAGGTCGGGTATGTCCCCCTGGCCGATGTTGGACGAAAAAACAAAAAAGTCAAAAAATAAGCCAAAATCAGTAGAAATAGTAGAAAATCGACCTGCGACTATTTTTTTTCCTGTTTGGGAATATTCCTCCTGTAGAGGGACACGCCCGACTTAATTCTGGGCGGCCTACGGGCCCGAGATAGGCCCCTGGAGGCCGAAAGCGATGCAAAAAGCCGAGAGGGCCGATGCTGTCTTGTGCTTCACGCCGCTGGCGCCGCCCTCTCGTGGGGCCACCCCGGGAACTCCCCGCCGCCGAGCTCCGCCGCGGCGGGCTGCGCGTACGGGGGGGCTTCGTCGCCGTGGTCGTGGTCGTGGTCGGGGTCGTGGTCGTGGTCGTGGTCGGGGTCGGGGTCGTGGTCGGGGTCGTGGTCGTGGTCGTGGTCGGGGTCGGGGTCGTCGTCGTCGTCGTCGTCGTCGTCGTCGTCGTCGTCGTCGGCGTCGGCGTCGTCGCAGCCGTCGTCGCCGCCGTCATCATCATCGTCGTCGGTGTCGTGGTTCTGGCGGGTCCCACCAGCTGTGAGGGCGTGAGTGGTTTGGGTCCCACCTTCTCCCTTCCAACCCCCTTTTTCCTCTTCCGGGAGGGCTGTAGCCGTCCCCGTAAACTCTGCCAGTGCACTTCGCAAAGGTGACTGTTCTTGGATGGGCTGGTCAGCGCTTTCTTAGTCGGCGTTTCGACATTAGGCGGAAGGGGGGGGAGGGGGGTGGTCTGGCTCCAGACCTCTGCTTAGTGCTGCTGTTTGGGACCGTGCGTCCTCTGGGGGACTCCACCTGCTCGAAACAGGCGCCCCAACAAAACAGCCAAGATCTGCTCCATGATAGAGGCGGTAGGGGGGGGTGCGCGAGCCCGCGCCGATCAGCAAAATATACAGTTAAAAACGCTCACCAGTGCACTTCGCACAGGTGGCGGTTCTTGGATGGGCTGGTGGGGATCCGCGAAGCGTGAACGGTTCCTCTCACGGGCCTCGGGCAGGCCCGCGAGAGGCGGCCCTTCGGGCCCCCACACGTGTCTATGACCAAGGTGCTGGGCATGTCCCCCTGCAAGGGGATTTTGGGCGAGAAGTGAAAAACCTGACGGGACAAGAACGGGAAGCGTCGCTTTAGTCCACCAAGCATGTGGAAAATGCTCTATTGTTGTTATGCCGCGCAAGTATGCCGTGGCGCGCGTGTCGGCGTGCGTGCGGGGTGTGTTTTGCTGTGCTCCTGTGTGTTCTGCCGTGCTCCTGTTCTGCCGTGCTTCTGTATTCTGCCGTGCCTCTGTGTGCTCTGTGTGTTCTGCCGTGTTCCTGTATCTGCCGTGCGGATCGTCGTGGTGGTCGTTTTGGCAGAGCTTCTGGGCGCACAAGGCAGACAAAGATGAGGAGCACGGCAGAATAGGCCCCAAGAGCGAAGGAGCACGGCAAAGAAAGACAAAGAACACGGCAGAATAGACCCCAAGAGCAAATGAGTACGGCAGACTACACCCCATTAGCTAAGGAGCACGGCAGAGAATAACCGGGAGCACGGCAGAATAGACCTCAAGAGCTAAGGAGCAGGCAGAAAAAGACCAGGAGCACGGCAGATTAGGCCCCAAGAGCGAAGGAGCACGGCAGAAAAAGACTAGGAGCACGGCAGAATAGACCCCAGGAGCTAAGGAGCAGGGCTGGATATGCCTCAAGTGCGAAGGAGCACGGCAGAGGAAGACGAGGAACACGGCAGGATAGACCCCAAAAGCTAAGGAGCACGGCAGAGAATGACCAGGAGCACGGCAGAAGTGGCCCCAAGAGCGAAGGAGCACGGCAGAAAAAAAACAGGAGCACGGCAGATTAGGCCCCGAGTCGAAGGAGCACGGTAGAGAAAGACCAGGAGCACGGCAGAATAGACCCCAGGAGCTAAGGAGCAGGGCTGGGTATGCCTCAAGTGCGAAGGAGTACGGCAGAGAAAGACGAGGAGCACGGCAGGATAGACCCCAACAGCTAAGGAGCACGGCAGAGAATAAACCAGGAGCACGGCAGAATAGGCGCCAAGAGCGAAGGAGCACGGCAGAAAAAAACACGCCAGAGTAGACCCCGAGAGCTGAAGGAGTGCGGGAAAATAGACCCCAAGAGCGAAGGAGCAAACCAGAAGAGGACGAGGAGCACAGCAGAATAGAACCCAAGAGACAGGGAACACGGCAGAATATGCCCCAAGTGCGAAGGAGCACGGCAGAAAAAAAGCATGAGCACGGCAGACAAAGACCAGGAGCACAGCAGAATCTGCCCCATGAGCGAAGGAGCACGTCGGAAACAAACCAGGAGCATGGCAGAATAGACTCCAAGAGCTGCCGAGCACGGCAGAAAAAGACCAGGAGCACGGCAGAATAGACCCCACGAGCTAAGGAGCACGGCATAATAGGCCCCATGAGCGAAAAAGACGCCAGAAAAAGACCAGGAGCACGGCAGAAGATGCCCCAAGAGCTAAGGACGACGGTAGAAAAGACCGAAACAACAACAGAAAAGGCCCGAAGAGCGAAAGGCAAACCAGAAAAGCACGAGGAGCAAGGCAGAATAGAACCCAAGAGACAAGGAGCACGGCAGCAGATGCCACAAGTGCGAAGAAGCACGGCAGAAAATGACCAGGCGCACGGCAGAATAGACCCCCAGAGCTCAGGGGCACGGCAGAAGAAGACCAGGACCACGGCAGAATAGACCCCAGAGCTAA